GGCTATGTCAAATGGGTTCTATCTGCAACTTTGGGTGGGGTAACTGAATTTTAAAATCTTTAATAAAAATAAACTTTTCCGGAAACGCTGCAACTTGAGTTAGGGGAGTCACCAGGTCTCTGCAGTACAGTGTTATGTGGAGTCTTCTGGTCCAAGAGCCAAAAGTAGAAGCGAGTTCAAACTGTGCTTTATGATTCCTTCCAGGAGTTAGCAAATCACCTAGGGATGGTGCTGGAATTTTCAGTGTACTCCAAGTTAGACTGGCAGAGAATTCATGGGGTTTTGAGAAAATAACACAATTTCTATTTGTATTCATTTAAAAAAAAAAATCATGTCTCATGAATAGAAAGGGAAGTGCTCTGAAGCAAAGAGGAAGTTGCTCCAGAAGCAGCTCAAAGTGGACCCACTTTGACCTTATTCACTTGCAGAGCATTGGTTTGTATTATAATTTTGGAGTCTAGTAATCGGATTTTACAGATTACTCAGTTTTAACAATATCAGCCCTCACAAAAAAGAACCAAATGTCTTAAAAAAAAGATTTATTGAGAAAAACTACAGAATAGAGACAATAATAATGGAAGCTTGGGCAAAACACAATATATGAATCCACATATTTTACAGAGCCTGTTTTTACTGTTAAGTACTGTTGATGGGTTCTGACTCTGTATAGGGTTTCTGAGGCTGTGAATCTTTGCAGGAGCAGAAAGCCCCATCTTTCTCCTGTTGAATGGCCTAAGGGCTTGAAAACTCCGTGGTTCGCAGTCCAGTGCTTATATCACAGAGCCAATGCACTCCCTATTTTGCAGATGAGGATCCCCAAATTTGTTTATTGATAGGATGTACAGTCACAGTCAGAGTAACTGGTACCTTGAGAATATGGGTAAATGACACATGCCACTGGCTGCTATTGGAAACGTGAATGTATCTGGTACTCACAGACAGATTTATTTGGCCTGGTAATTCACAATTTTATGAAATATGTACTATTTCATTTGAATCCTAAATTGTCATTAATATACAATAATATCTGATTAATAGTGAATAGCATAGTATATACATTTTATTGTTTTCCTCTCTCCTACTCCCACATGTGTGTATAGGTATGTGACAGAAAGCTAGATCTGTTAGAATAAAGAACCTGTATTTATGGTATTTTTAACACAAAAAAAGCTTAAAGGTGAAACTTTACCATTGTGACTGTTTTTAATTTTCCTTATTTTAACTGTTGATGCTGTTGCATGCCGTCGAGTCGATTCCGACTCATAGCAACCTTGTATAGGGTTTCCGGGGAGAGGCGGAAGAGTTTAAACCAGAGATCTTGCAGTTCAAACTGACCTTGAGGTTGAGTGCTTATCCTACATCAACAAACCAGGACTCCTATATGCCCCAATGTCAACAACCACAATGTAAAACAACTACAATATATAGCTTGATTAACAGAAATAGTAATTATAGACACTGAGAATATAGAATACTTACCCTATGTAGGAGTTCATTTAATGATCCGTTTGGCATGTATTCAGTAACTATTCCCAAAAATTCAGGCTCATTGCAAATTCCCAGAATTGGAAGAATGTAACTAAATCTAGCTTTGTGTAAAATTTCAGCTTCTCTTAAGACATCATTTCTTTCACTAAGAAAAGAAAATGCATAATTAAGTTTTAAGCAATGAAAATAAGCACAATTATCATGTCCATAAAGTTAATGAAACCTGGATTTTCCTTACTAGCTATTTCATGTAAATTATGTTATTTTTCCATTCTTTACTTGATAATACTTAGAATAGGGATGAAACCTACCTTATATATTCCTCAGGTCTGTTTAGAGACCAAAATCACTTCTGTAACTTACTGACAGGAGAAAGAGCGACACACAGGTTATTATTATTGTACTCTTCCTGGGACAGGGGAAGGACACCATGTTAGAGTACCTCCTAGAGGAGAATGCACTGGACTGCAAGGTTGGTTTGAACTGCAAGGTCATCAGTTCAAACCCACCAGCTGCTTCCCAGAAACCCTATATAGGGTCGCTCTGAGTTGAAACTGACTTGACAACATTTAAGAACAATAACATGTAGGAGTCGAGGAGCTCTGGTGGCACAGTAGTAAAAGCACCCAGTTGTCAGAAGTTCAAACTTACTCTACAGAAAAAAAAGTGGTAGTATGCTTCCATAAAGATTAACAGCCTTGGGAACCCTATGGATTAGTTTTACTCTATCCTATAGGATTGCTGTACTTACTGATGAAGATCAAAGAC